AGGCTGTATGTGCTGGTGATACCCACATTCTAAAGCAGCAGGCTGTATGTGCTGGTGATACCCACATTCTAAAGCAGCAGGCTGTATGTGCTGGTTCACAGTTGCGCTCACTGTGCCACTGTGCCGCTGACGGAAATACTTTCACGTGCCCGGCTACAGGATGTAGGTCTCCAGACATGAGCTCAGGGAGCTGTGAATCACTCAAAAATCCTCATCCGTGCTACAGGGAGTCAAGTCCGCAGAACTGAACAAGGTGTCTATTTCAAGGCCATTCTAAAGGCGTGACTCTGGGCTGGATTGCTCTACCAGTGAAACGGTTTGGCTTGATATTTTGGAGAGTAAAATACCCTGTATCCTTCCACAGTCTTTATTTACTATGTTTGTATTTTAGTTAGCATAGAAAAGAATGGTATTCTGGTTATCTCACTTTTATACAAATACAGCATTGTGTGTTTTCTAAACAGTCCTCCTCCAGTGCCTCCTCCCCTCCCCTCACTGGGCCTTTCCCTCCTCACAGCTGCTTTCATGTCACGTGAATGCATAAGGATTCTTTCTTAAAGATCCAGATTCCACATATAACCAAAACCATGTGCTGTTTTGCTTTTCCCATCATCCTCTTGTTCAAGCCCCCACTTCCAGTATCGTTAATGTCCACAAACCAAGAAAAAAAAAAAAAGCCAGTGTATTTTTTTTAATCTCCTATTTATTTTTCGAAGGCTAGTTTTTATACCTGTACATTTTGAGAGCAATGGTTACCAGAGGAGCAAGCATTTCCTGCTGTTACCTCACTCAAGGGCCAAGAGAAAGAAGCAAGCAAGGTCACCACTTGGGTTGCATGTGTTAGGATTCCCTTAATCAATCAAAAATACTAATCTTGGGCTGGAGAGATGGCTCGGAAGTTCAAGTGCGTGTCCCCAACGCAAGGGGACCAGTGTTCGGAACCCCAGGACTCATGTAAATTCCAGGTGAGTATAACAGCCCTCCTGTAATTCCAGCTTGGGGAGGCAGAGACAGGATCCTGGAGCAAGCTGTCTGCAGAGACTGCTAGCCTTATTGGTCATCAGGATCTATTAAAGATAGACCCTGTGGCTCTTCTGTCTGCCACTAATGTAGAATTTGGTCTGGGTAATCTGAGAAAGGGTCCTTGATTTCTTTTAGAATCAAAGGGGCCTGTTTCCACCATGACAAATTTTCTCTTACATGATAAGCGGGAGATTCTAGCAGAACAGAAGCCTTTCAGAGGTGGAGGGCAAACTTTCAGAGAGTTACTGTGACTGGATGTTTGTTCCCTCCAATGACTTAGCTGTCACTTCCTTTGGGGAAACACACTTGTGCTTATTTAATTGAAAATATTCTACATGAGCAAGCTAACAAGAATAATAGCCAACAGCTTTCACAATCGCTTTATTCCTTTTCTTCAAATTCCGGTGGACTCTGACCATAATTTTCAAGTCCGTTCAGAATTCTGGAGGGCCACAGGCAGACAGGACTCGGTGTCAACACACATCTGGGTGTTTGTGGTCCTTGGTGAGTGTGAATAGCTGCAGTGAATGAGGCAGAGGTGAGCTGTTTGATGAGCTTCTCACAATCTTGGTTAACAGAGGGAATCGGGAACTGGATAGCCATTCTAAGCAGCTGCTGGAGCTGGGTTGAGTGACCTCAGATGACATCTTCCCATCACTCTCTCTAACAGACAATGGTTTTCAAAGCTGCTGACTTCACACTGGAATAGAAAGGGTGAGCTGTTTCCAAGGGAAGCTAGGGGAGGAAGAATAGTCTAGAATGGACCACAAATCTAGTCATGTAGAACCACTTTGGGTTCGCCAGCCCTTGAAGCACTGAAGGGACATTTTTGTCCTCAGAGCCGTAGGGCGCCACTAAACACAGATGCAGCAAACCAAACTGCTATTCTCATAGTACCCTGGACAAAGGATCAGAGTTTCTTGGTCTGGATTCCAGAAAGCAACACCTCATCAAGGCTTCACAGAGGCCCTGGGAACAGTCAGGCATCCAGACATTCATTCTGTCCATCTGTCCGACTGCCCTTCCTTCCTTCCTTCCTTCCTTCCTTCCTTCCTTCCTTCCTTCCTTCCTTCCTTCCTTCCTTCCTTCCTTCCTTTTATCCTTCCCTGTCTGTCTCTCTGTCTCTGTCTCTCCCCCCCACTTCCACGTTAGCTCTCCACATGCTTAGTTGTGACACCTGGATAAGCATTTAATGCACATGTGTTTCTGCAACACAACATTTAACGAGACCCACACAGACTTTTTGAGAGCTTTTAGAACAGATCAAAAGACCGAAGCAGACATCCCCAGGCAGGGGGTAAGGGTCAGTCCTTGGGGAGAGAGCTCACATCCAGACCTAGAAGGATCTTTGCCTGGAAGGATCTTTAATGGCCCAGGAAATGTCTTCCATGCTAGAGAGAGCAGCTATCCCTTCTGCTGAAATGTAGGACAGCCTGCCAATTCAAACTCGGATTTTTTTTTTTTTAAAGTTTTCTTTTGTACTGGCAGCCCCCGCTTCCTGCGATGCCATTTCTCACTCTACGCCCTCAGCCAGCTTGTTTCCACGCCATAACATTCAGCTCAAACCTCACCTGGGGGGAAGCTCATCATTCAGAACAAGTGGCTCTTCTTCTGGGCTCTCCAGAACTCTCCTAGAGCTCTTCCAGATAGAATTGTAAGAGGCTCTGCCTATTGATTTCCCCATCCAGCTCAGCACCTGAAAGGCGTTCTCCCCAGAGATGACCAACTGATTAAATCAGGGGGATGAATGAATAATGGAGAAGTTATTCTCTGCACTCAAATTTCTGGTAGATGGGATGATTCCGTGACTGCCTTGCCCGGCTCCTTCACGTTTTTGCAGTAAAACCATCAGAAGAGAGCCAATTGCTAGGATTTGCAAATCCTCCCCAGTTTTGGGGTCGGAACCATGGAATACATCTGAAATAACAGCTCTAATGTCACATGCCCGGCTGCTTAGTGGAATTTTGGTGTGAATAAACTTCTTCCGGGTTCTCACGTTATGGAGCCGTGCGTGGGTGTGACTTTTTTTTGGGGGGGGGGAGACGTAAACAAAAGTCTATTTCCCTGAACGCTGACAGCAAACCAAAGAAATAAGCACACCTAATTACGCTGATGGACCAATGAGACCACAGGAGCTACACACCGGTGTGCTGATGACTCCTAGACAGTTGTTACGGAAAAGCCCCACCCAGCAAAGGGGACTCTGGAGCTCTGGCCGCCCTTGGCCTTCCTGCCTCAGTTTCCCAAGGGTTTAGACTTCAACCATGTCCCACTACACTCAGCTTAATTTTTTTTTTAAGTTTCTGATATCCATTTTTAATGTTCTTTATTCTTTTGTTCTTGGTGTCTGTCTGGTAGCCATTTTTAATGCTCTGACTTCTTTCATTGTTGTTGTATAAATTACACTTTGTGTGTGTGTGTGTGTGTGTGTGTGTGTGTGTGTGTGTGTGTGTGTGTAGTTACAATGGTACTCTTTAAGATATATTTATTTTTAATTGTATGTATATGAGTAATTGGCCTGGGTGTATGACTGTGCCCCACATGCATACCTGATACCTGCAGAGGTAAGAACAGGGGGTCAGAGGTCCTGGAACTGGAGTTATGGGTGGCTTTGAACCGCCATGCCTGTGCTGGGAACCAAACCCAGATCCTCTGTAAGAGCCACATCAGCTCTTAACTGCTGGGCCATCTCTCCAGCCCCTGACAACTGTGTATCCTTTAGCCTGTAGGTACCCCACAGTCCAATCTCCTGCCTGTTTCCTGGTCTAGCCTCTGACTCTTCCACTTGCCATAGTGGGAGACACCAGAAGGGCGGCTTGTCATTAAGTCCTTCCATATCAAACAATCTAAGACATGACCTGCAAACATGTCCGGGTTATTTTTGAAAACCTCTGCCCAGGGTCCTCCTGCGGGATGCATTGTGATGGATCTGTGGCCTGCAATCTACAGCCAGCCAAGCTCTGTGGAACCTTTGTGCATGAAAAGGTAAAACACAGGTGCTGATCCCCGAGGGTGTGGCTACATGGACGCCTGTTTCTGCCAGTGAGAGACGGTGGTGGTGGTGGTGTTTTTCTTATTTAGAAAATTCAATTGAATCCTCGGGAGCCTTTCTCTCCTCTCTCCACTGGACTATCCCCTGTTCCTCTCCTCTGAGACTTAATCACATTTCCCAGACCTGGCTTCTCTGCATCCGTCACTATGGTGATCATCTTTTTCTCAGCTTAGCAGTACGTCAACTGTAACGGCGTTCACTCTGTTGGCCCTTCAGAGGCACAGCTGGGCAGGTCCTGCCCTGAGCTTGCATCTCACACAAGTGAGGGTCTATCTACCAGGGAAGCCAAAAGGAAGGGGTTGTGGGCAAACATGTCCAAGGACATGTGTCAGGTTCCTGTCCATGGGTTGCCCACAACTAATACCGCCCTTGCACCCCCGTATAACCTCACTCTTCACTCCAGGAATGAACTTCTAGGAGACAGCAGGTGGAACAGATGTCTCCCCGTGGGAGATATTTCCATGGAGTTCCCCATGAAAAACAAAGCTAGCTGCTCATCTTCCCCTTGTAGCTGTCTGTAAGTTCTCCTGAGCAGCCAAAGGAGAACTCCTCCTGGACAGTCCCAATGTCCTACGTCCATGGTTTTCAGTTACTCTTGATAGGCTCCCATCCAGACTACTGTGCTGAAGACTGGCCTCCAGGCTTGTGCTTTTGTTTTTTAACTCCAGCCCTAGGTTTGGAACAAGGTTAACCACCTGAAACAACAGAATTCGCCTAATCTGAAGTGATCTATTTCCCCGGTAAAGACTGCTCTCTGTTATTTTTATTTTCAAAGGGAGTTAACATATAACATGGGTGTTAGCGTGTCTCTGCCTCCCTGAATGGGTCTGTTTGTCTCCGCTTCCTTCTCTGTTACACTGCTAAGCCTTGCCTTCCTCTGGGTTCAGGGAATTTTCAGTATTAATGAGGACCAAAGGCCTCTGTATTTTGAAACTGCCTCCCTATCGTTCACCCCAGTAAACAGTTTCTTAAAGCATTTAGTAACTTGGGAAGTGAGCAGAACTGTGACAACTGGGTATGATGGCAGTTTATAAAATTCCTCTATGAAGAAGGGAATGGGTGGGTAGGCAGTTTGTATTCAGCACCTCGGAAAATGTACAGAGCATGGGTGCTTCTCACAGCAGTCAGCAACAGCAGGACCGGGGACTTGGACAGATGCAAATTTCTGGGTCCTCCTCTGAATCCGTTGCACTGAAAATTCACTGGCGATTACTGATCGAGTCTCGGGAGAAAGCTTCTCGAGAAAGCCTACCCAAGCGTGGAGAGCCGAGTCTGGTCTACATAAAAAGCATCCATGTAAAAAGTCACATGCAGTGTGATCTCATGATCTCCTTCAGAAAGGTGGAGACGGGGATCTCCGAGGTTTATGGGCCAGCCAGTCCTGCTAATCCACTAACCCCAGGTCCCAAGGATGGATGCTATCTCAAAAAACAAGGTAGAAGACGTCAAGGAATGATACCTGAAGGTGGCCTCTGGATTCTGTTCACATGCACATGTGCATCTCCTTAAAGGAACACCACACACACACATGCACATGCATGCATGCCTGTGCTCGCATGCGCGCGCGTGCGCATGCGCACACACACACACAATATAAAAGGAAAATGCCACTTTCCATGTCTTACAATCTACAGGGCTATGCAACTCACACCCATGACACATGCATAAACTTGATAAAAAAAAAAAATTGTTCCAGGTTGTTAACATCAGAGAAACTGAGTCACTGACATTTCCACCTTCAGACACGTTTATAGGACAGAAAATTTTTAATGGAGACATGTCAATAATGTTAAGTCCACGCGAGTTTGTACAGTAGGTCCCTCAGGGAACTCAACACTCCACAGATGGCCTGACTGTAAGAAAATCTCGCTGGAAAAGCAAAGCTAAGCTGAGAACATCTTGTGGTCCGACAGAGGAGATCCATCTTCGTCTAGAATAATCTTTCCCATATTATCTCTGCATTTAGGATTGTATTCCTGGTAAATCATTCATAGGAAATCATCCGTGTAAAATTTTCTGTCACAATAACCTTGATGTGTTAAATTTACAAAGTTAAAGGCTTCTGAGATGAAAATCTCATTTTTTAAAAAATTCTTTAAAATGCTTAGGTTTTAAAATACCATGAAAATATAAAATCCGGATAAGTCAGATGAAATATGTATAAGGCTTGGAAAATTGAATTTTTAAAACCATAATCCTTGACAATTACATTTTGCTCTCCTAGAGTTCTCTAAATTTTTTCTCTGCTTATATCCCTTTGTCTCTTTCAGAAATTAATCCTGTATGCCATAGGACCATTACAATTGTCCGCCAATTTTAATACATCAATTTACATGGTTTATCTTAACTGCTACCCGTGATTTATTTTAAATGTGGAAACCCTTAATCTTTCCTCCTCAGTCCATCCTTCCTCTCCTTCTCTTTCTTTCCATGCAGGTCTTAAGGTGTTATTACAAAGTTCTTACTACATTTATCTTTTATCTGCAAGATCTTACTGTATTGAATTTTTATATTTGTTTTGAATTCTTCTGACATTTCATTTTTAAAGATTTCAAAATAAATAGCAGTTATATTGTTCGGTTTCTAATAACATATTGTCTATTATTTCAACTGAATTAAAACACAGTCTCAGACCTGGGGTATATTATTATATTCAGATATGTTTTTCTGTAGGAATATTTAATTTTTTTTTAATTGTTGTGTGTGCATGTGAATGGAGGTGCTCACAGAGGCCAGGAGACCTCAGATCCCTTGGAGCTGGAGATGAAGATGTGGTGTGTCTCTCAATGTGGGTACTCAGAACTCAAGTCCTCTACAGGGCAGCAAATGCCCTTAAACCCAGAACTGTCCCTTCAGCCTGGCTTTTCAGCTGGCCTTGAATTCATTCCTACCCAGGGATGGAGACATTTTATGTGTATTTCATGAGCATACCACAAGCACAATGACTTCCTTCTCTACTTCTGTCAGGGTTTAACTAGATCTTTTTCATTATTCCATCTGAGCCTTAAAATTTTACAGAGAACCTTGTGAATTCTCTCCACCGCCACTTTCGAATTGGAATTGTGTGAAATGGTGCTTTTTGAAGTCAGAATCCATATGACCTCAAGGCTTCTCATTTGATAATTGTGTTGTTTGCTTCTGTTGTTCCACGTATTTTCCTCACATATCTCTTGTCTCACATATCTCATGTATATTTCATGTGAAACTAATGCTTTGGTGGGGGGAGTTATACATGTGTGAATGCGTGTGTGTGTGTGTGTGTGTGTGTGTGTGTGTGTGTGTGTCCAGAGTGGGCGTGGGTATGGGGCCAAGAGCCTGCTATCATTCTCCACCCTGTTCTTGGAGGCAGTGAACCTGAAGCTACCATTCTGCTGGGTTGCTTGGCCAGTGACTTCCCGGAATCTACTCATCTCTATCTTCCAGTGCTGGGGTTATAAGCATTACAGTCTTGTCTGGCTTTTAAATCAATATTGGGGATGCGAACTCGGGTCCTCTTGCTTTGCAAGTGCTCTTACTGCTGAACCATTTCTCTAGCTTCTTGAATCTCGTTCTTCAATATTTGATAGTTTGGCGTGATTTTTGAGGGAAACTCTTGCCCATCCCTGTGACCAGCACTGAGGCAATGGGTCAGCGAGGACTTTGAAACATCGTCGTCAATCTGTTCCCCTCAGGAGTTCAGTCACTCGCACCGGTAGAGGCTTTGCCTTTTATCACCATTCATGTCAGCATTCGGACTCCTGGGATTTGAGTCGAAACAGTGTGAGCGTCTCTGTTTCTCGCGTGCTTTTCCGTTACCGTGTCCTAACCCTCACCATGCTCTTTTCCTGCGTTTGCAATTCACCCTGAGATTTCCGCAGCTCTTATGTTCCGCCCAGCACCTTTTCATGACCTACCTGTATGGAACCTCGATTTTTACTTCTCGATTCCGATAACGTACTTTGCTTTCTTAGTATTCTGTGACAACGTCACACGTGTACATAAAACATTCTGACCACACCCCTCCTTCCACCCTCTCTACCCTCCAACGGTCCCAGCTGCCCTTCCTCTCACTCAGTGCCCACCCCAGTTTCATCTCCTTTTTGTTTTATTTTGTTTCTGTTTCGTGACCCCCTTGGGTATCCCTGGAGCTGCTCACATGGTCTTGGGTGGGAGGTTATCCACCGGAGCGTGAGGAACTTACCAGTAGCTACAAGGACTTCCTCTCTCTCTCAGCAGCCTTTAACGGCCACTAGCTCCCCTGGGTCGGGTGGGGAGTGGTCCCACCGGCCTGTCCCTCACCCATGGCTGAATGCCGGCAGGCTCAGTCTGGTGAGGTCACTGCAGTTGCTGTGCTTTAGTGAATGCCATGATTGTCATGCTTCTAAAGATAGTTGATGTTCCTGGGATTTAATCATCTCTGGATTCTTAGAACCAAGGCTCTGTCCCATGGTTTCAGAGTGTAGGTATGAGGAGATGCTACTTGGGAGTTCTGAAAGCCTGAAAACTTACTACTGTATGTGCTTTATGCCGGCTGTGTGGATTTTAATTTCTATGTTTGTGGGGATAGTGTGTTCTTGCGATTTCTCTCAGTCCCCTGTTTTTCGGATATGTTGTAATACTTGAATGTCTTCTTAAAGTAGGCATCTCTTTTTCCTTGTCAGTGGAGACTAAAGGCATGCCTTTTCAAGACAGGATATACATTTTATAAACCAGGAGAACCCCTTCCCCAATCCGATCTACGGGATTTCTGCATCTTGACGGAGTGTCCCTTCCAAACTTCCACTCAGGCAAGGCACTGCCTATGTTTTTGTTTCTTCCTTCCTCCCCTCCCTTCCTCCCTCCTCCCTCCGCCCCTCCCCCCTTTCTTTTTGAGACAGGGTTTCTCTGTGTAACAGCCCTGGCTGTCCTGGAACTCACTCTGTAAACCAGGCTGGCCTCGAACTCACAGAGATCTACCTGCCTCTGCCTCCCGGGAGCTGGGATTAAAGACCTGTGCTACCACTGCCCGGCTTTTTTTTTTTTTTTTTTTTTTTTTTTGCAGTCTGTTGGGGAAGGGGGGTAAACACGCATATCTTTGTGAGTGGGGTTTTCATTTATCTAATCCCAGGGGAGGTTCAGCCCTTTTCATATACTTCCATCTGCATACCCTCGCCTGTCAACGGCCTTTCTTTCTCTCTGGAAAGTTTTCATTTTGGAGAGCATTTCTCTTTCTAGGTGAGCTGCTGAATTTTTTTTAAGATCATGGAAATATTATATGGACTGAGCAGATTATATTTAGGAATATGTATATGCAAACAGACACAAATATATTCATGCAATAACAATAAAAGGAGAGACCATGAATTCAGAGAGCAGAATGGTAGATAGGAAGGTGTGGAGGAAGGAAAGGAGGAGAGAAATGTAACTATATAATACTCTCAAAGATTTTAAAAAGAAAAAGAAAAATACACAGACACACATATGCATACCGTAGACCCACACATGGCATTATGCATATGAAAAATCTCCAGTTAGAGTGTACTACTGACATAAATGTTATCTGGAATTAAATAATAATGCAATTTAATAAGCAACTGTAAATTGCAATTATTATAAAGTATAATATTCTAGTAGAAATAATAAAAGTATTAAACATTAAAAAAAAGATCTTGGAAATAAGCTTTTAACGTGTATGGTTCAATAACCATATTTGGTTAGAGGACTTCCTAGGTTACTTTTCTCATTTGGTATATTGTAAATGAACCAGTATAAAGTTAACATTTCAAATTACATTTCAGTGCCCTGTAGGAACACTAGTTTTGACCTGTAAGTTATCAAAATCAGAGAACTTTCTAATAAGTTTACTAATTTATCTTAGAATTCTCTTAGATTTCTTTAGGTAGATATAAGCACATCAACTGAATGTAGCCGGAAGGTTCCTCCCGTCCCATCCGGCCCTGTGGTCCCTCAGCCACTTATAAAATAATCATTCAGAGGCTTAATATTAATTATCAACTGTGTGGCCTATGCCAGGCCTCTTGTTAGCTAGCTCTTATAGTTTAACTCAACCCATAACTATTAATCTATTTATCACCACGTGTTCCGTGGCTTTCCCTGCATCCCATTACATGCTGCTCCTAGGATGGCAGTCTGGCGTCTCCCCTACTCCACCTTTCTCTTTCCTGTCTCTCTCCTTGGATTTCCTGCCTGCCTCCAAGCTGCCTTGCCATAGGCCAAAGCAGCTTATTTATTAACCAATGGGAACAACATACATTCACAGAGTACAGAAAGACATCCCCCAGCACTTCCGCTTCTCTATCTAATCAAAAAGGAAGGTTTTAGCTTTAATATAGTAAAATTATATATAACAAATACTTATCAAAATTATGTTTTATGATTCCTCACTTTCGAAGTGTGTTCCATTGAATCTCTTGGGTTGATTTCACTGCCTACACATGTGCCCTGTTCAATGGAGACGTGCACTCATCATTTACTTGTTATCTGCTATTGGCATTGTTATTATCTGGGTACTGGCGATTGAACCCAGTGCCTTATCATGCCAAGCATGTGTTCTACCAGCTCTGCATCCACTCAGATACACATATTTGAATACACGTTTTCTAATCAGCACATACATACATAAGTAAAAAATGGCTCAGTAGGTACAGCGTCTGCCACCAAGTCTAATGACCCAAGTTTGATCACCAGAGCACAAGTAGTGGACAGAGAGAACTGGTCCCCTAGCTTATCTTCTGACCTCAACAGAAGGGCTGTGACATGTGCTGGTATGCACATACACACACACACACACACACACACACACACACACACACACACACACACACAAAATAAATAAATAAATAAACAAATATAAAAAATTAAAACACTTAAAGAACATCAAGATAATTGAATTTGGAAGTATCTATTGCTTACACAATAGGTTCTTCACCATTATTTCAGCATGCAAACAAAAAAATAATAATTGAGATATTTTATATCATTTTCTACTATGAAGTCTTTGAGATTAGTGTACATTTTCCTCTTAGAGCATCTCTCTGGGGACCAGCCCCATTTTAAGTGTGGGTACTCACAGAGGTTTGTGTCCTCTGTGTGGAGTCAATGTTGGATGTCCAGAATCATGTGAGTTAACAGTGATAATATTAAAACGTCTTTGTTTTCCTAATCAAAAGGGAATGGCTTGAACACCATCTTAAAGTCAGGATTTCTTTGGCTCAAAATTTTATCATTTAAAGAACATTCTTCTATTCTCAGTTTCAAAATTTTTTAAATCACAAATAAATTTTGAATTTGTGGAGATGTAGCATGAATCTTAAAAGTTCTTATTAATAAAGTCAAACCTGAGGCCAGTTATTGGAGTCAATACTGGTACATCAGAGTGACAGAACAAGCCACAGCTAACCTCACCTCGCCGGATCCTCAGCTGGTCTTGTCTCCTCAGACTGGAGGCCTCTGAGTCTTCATCCAGAATGGGTCTCAGCTGAATTGCTGCTCAAAGGCCTGAATGCTTAACCAGCCAAATGCTTCTAGTTTCTGGTCCTCACGCCTTATATACCTTTCTGCTTTCTACCACCACTCCCTGGGATTAAAGGCTGGCTTTCTGAGATTAAAGGCATGAGTCACCATGGTTGGCTGTATCCTTGAACACATGGATTTCTGCCTCTGGAATTCTAGGACTGAAGGCATGTGCTATCACTGCCTATCTTAAGTATCTAGTGGCTTTTCTGTTCTCTGACCTCAGATAAGTTTATTAAGGTACACAATATTTTGGGGAACACAGTACCATCACAGACATGTACAACTGTTGAGATTATTGTAACTCTCACCACTAATTTATTAATATTATTGAGTCCATTAGTGAATTTAAAAATTAAATGTTTATAAACATATATAATATAATACAGTACAATATACTAGATAATATAATAGGTCATGGGTTCTCTTAAACTACATGGCACCTGACTGTGAATTGCTTGTTCACACAGAACTGCATTTTTTGTTTACTAATACATTATTTGTAAGGTTCTGATTTTATTTTAGAATGATGTTTGTCTTTGTTTTCCTTTGTCAGGCAACTCTATTTCTTTCACAGTGAGCATAGATTGCTGAAGGAAGGCTGAGTCAGCACCCCGGGGAGAAAAGGACTTGTAAGGAGGAATTCCTGTTCTCTTTTTCCAGTCAAGATCACAATGAGACCTATGAAACAATTGGGTCACAAGTCTTTATAAGTTGTATAAAACAACTTCAAAAAAAAAAAAAAACAATAGAAATGGTATTCTATAAAACTTATCTTTGAAATCAGTCTGAATGCCATGGAAATTGATTCCAACAGTTATTTCAATTATATCTTACATTTAAGTTCTGTTTTACTACAGGAAAATTTGAATAAAATCAAATAAAATAGTCCATGTTTGCTACATACTCAGAGGCTGTTTAAATATGTAATATTATAATTAAATAGATAATAATAATTGATATCTATTTGATTTATTATTACAGATCTCTATTATAGATACCTATTTATTATTATAAATATGAATAATTGTGAATAAAATAAGATACTCTGTTTTATTATATATTGGGAGGCCATTTAAACAAATATCTGTTTTAAATATATAATAACTAGAATTAAATAGATAATAATAAATAGATATCTATTTTAATACACTTTTTTCCCATAAAATTATTTCAACTAATTACTAAAATTTCCTTTTAGTGTGATTTTTGGTTAGCTTCCTGTTTGTTGAGTGTCTGTGCTGCCAATGTCATTTGCCAGACTATTCTCAGTATTTCACCACTTATTTCCTAGGATTTCCTGTGCTTCTGTAGCTCTGCATCCCTTTAATGCTGAATAGTCTACTTGTACCTGGTCTGTTTTCAATCCTGGACCCCACAGGTCTTTCCAGTGACTCCTTCCAGAAAATCAAGTCTTGTAGATTCTGTCCTCCGTATCTTTCCATCACTGTTCATCCATTTCCATTCTAATAGTTAGTGTGTTTCTTCTACTGTCTTTATATTAAATCTGTTATTTTCTAGCTATTTAGCAAGGAACAGTGTTCTCTCTCTCTCTCTCTCTCTCTCTCTCTCTCTCTCTCTCTCTCCTTCTCTCCCTCTCCCTCTGCCCATCCCTCTGCCTCTCCATCTCCCTCTCCCTCCTCTCTCCTAGTTTTTGGTTGGTCTTCTTGTTTTTGTTTTTAAATAGATCTCCATACTCATTGGACTGAGTGAAACAATTTACATTCCTTTAGCTAAGGGTTCCCTTTTCCCACACCCTCACCAGATTTTTTTTTCTTATTTGTTATCTTAATGGTAGTTATTCTGCCTAGAGTAAGGTGGAATATCAATGTATGTAATTTGAATTTAAAGATTTGGGCTATTTTTTGAGCATGGTTATTTTCACACAGCCTTCTGTATTTCATCTTTTGAGAATCATTAGGCCATGTATGGTATTGATAGGGTTGTTTTTTTTCTGATATTTAGATTTGGGGGGGCGTTCTTTATATATTCTAGGTATTAATCCCATGTCAGTTGTATAGCCAGCAAAACTTTTCTCCTCTTCTGAGGGCTGTCTTTCACTTGAATGTTTCTTTTGCCTTGCAGGACCCTTTTAGTTTCATGCAACCCCATTTGCCAATTCTCGGTTTTATTCCCTGAGCTAATGGAGGCCTTTTTGGAAAGCCCTTGCCAATTCCTATATCTCAAAGAGTATCCCATTTTCCTCTAGCCATTTAAGAGTTCCAGGTCTAACATTAATGTTTTTGCTATTTATTGGATTGGATTTTGTGCAGTGAGACATGGGAATCTGGTTCCATTACTCTACAT